GGGTTGAGGGAGCCCGGACACCTGGGTTCTCCCCCAGCTGTAAGAGGGGATGGGGCTCTGGTGGGAAAAGTGGGGGAACTGGCAGCCTGGATGCCTGCGTTCTGCCCCAGCTCTGGAGACTTCCAAGCAGAGACAAGATAGGCAAATAATCAGAACGACAATAATCATCACACTCATTAGAGCTTCTCCATCCGATTAATTAATACAGGCCCTGATACAACTGAGTCTTCATTCCCAGCCTGCATATTCATTACCCCAACACAAATACTCCTTGTGATCTTTGATGTGAATAGCAACATTGACAATGGATCCCCAAGGTGAGGAATTAATAGTGTTCCGGGTATGTTATTTAATAATAATAACTATCCTATCCTACTACACTACACTGTATTATACTTTACTATGTTATACTATACTGTAGGGGTACACTGATAGACATTTTGGGGGCTGATACCAATAGCCGATTTTTAAGGAGGCATATTGGCTGAAACCGATTCGATTTCCAATACAGCTGTGTCCAGATGGTAAGTGTGTTGTGGTGAAAGGGGAGGGGGAGAGTAGGGGTGTTGGCGGGGTGGGGGGAGCAGATCAACGCCCCCCCTGTGGTGAGGGAGGGAGTGGGGCTGGGGCTGGGGTAGGCGGTGTCTAGCTGGGGCAGGCACAGGATGGAGCCAGGACACCTCTGGGGTGCGGGGAGCATGGGGGAGGCAGCTCCTACCGTTGCATGCTGCTCATCTGGCAGCTCATCTGGTGGCTCCCACCGCTTGTCTGGGAAGGCACGGAGGGTGGGGGATGGTGTGTGCCCCCAGATCTGTGCAGAGCAAGGCAGGGCAGGCTTCAACTGTGGGCTAGGGCTGGGGGCTGTGCTGCATTGTGCTCAGGGTGGGTGGTGGCTGTGCTAGGAGGATACTACAGTGTGGGGCTGCAGCCACCCCAAATTTTGCTGTAGCCCCTCTGTGCTTCCACCCAGTGCCAATGCTGCCCCCAGCCCCAGCCTGCAGCTGCAGCCCGCCCACCCTTGCCTTGCTCAGATCTAGGGCCACACCCACCCTGTGCCTTCCTGGATGAGCAGCGGGAGCAATGGTGAAAGTCACCAGATGAGCTGCTGGATGAGAGGCGTGCCCCACCCCAGCCCCAGCCCCAGCCCCAGCCCCAGCCCCACTCCCTTCCTCACTGAAGGGGGCATTGATCTGCTCCCCCATGCCCCTTCCCTCCTCCTCCCCTTTCACCACAGCAGACTTCCCAGGCTGCAAGTAACTCTCCAAGCTGCTGGGCTGTGCTTCTTGCTTCCTGCAGGCTGCGCTGTGGCTGCACACATGCACAAGCATTTATCCCCCAAATTATCTGCTACTGCAGGCTGATTTCTGATAGAATCAATTTTCTTTATATCGGTGCCAATCCCATATAGGACCAATGTATTGGTGCTGCTCTACTGTACCGTACATTATAGTATACTATTATTATTCTCATCATTAATAATATTACTAATAATAAGATAATAATAGTAATAATAAAAGTAATGATCTTATTATTATTCACTACATGCAAAACAGAGATCTCCAGCATAGCAGCAGCTCTGCAGTAAAGGACCTGGGGGTGACAGTGGACAAAAAGCTGAACAGGACCCAGCAGGGTGCCCTTGTTGCCAGGAAGGCTAACGGCATCCTGGGCTGCATCGGTAGGAGTGTTGCCAGCAGATGGATGGAAGTGATCCTTCCCTTTTATTTGACTCTGGCCACATCTGGAGTCCTGTGTCCAGAGTTGGGCCCCCCACTACAGAAAGGATGTGGACACATTGGAGAGAGTCCAATGGAGGGCAACAAAAATGGTGAGGGGGCTGGGGGACATGACTTGTGAGGACAGGCTGAGGGAATTGGGTTGATTGAGTCTGCAGAGTCTGCAGAAGAGAAGACTGAGTGGGGATTGAATAGCAGCCTCCAACTAGGACGCTGCAAAAAGGGCGGAGCTGGACTGTTCTCAGCGGTGGCAGATGACAGAACAAGGAGCAATGGGTTCTAGCTGCAGCAAGAGAAGTTGAGGCTGGATATTAGGAAAAACTGTCACTAGGAGAGGGGTGAAACACTGGAACAGGTTCCCCAAAGAGGTGGTGGAGTCTCCATCCTCGGAGGTGTTAAAGACCCAGGTAGACAAAGCCTTGGCTGGGATGATGTAGTTGGGGCTGGTCCTGCTTGGAGCAGGGGGTTGGACTAGATGCAACCCTCCCTTCCAACCCTCATTCTCTATAAGTCTGTTTCCTGATATTACCATTATCATAATTATTGTTATTTATGACAGGGGGAACAATTATCTCAGAAACAATAATATCAGGGAGAGGTGGCTCGCCCTGTCCATTGGAAGTCAGGCGGAAGGCAGGTTGGATTCATATTCATACCAGGAAGAGTCATTATTCATGGTGGGACTCCATCATTATCATAATGATTATGAAGAAAGTATTATTATACTTATTATTATTACTATGATTATTATTATCATTATTTTTGCTATTATTATTACTATTACTACTAATAACAATATCAATAATACATTCACAACATGCCATTGATAATAGGTGATAATAGCAACAATGGCAATAATAATATTAATAAAATAAAATAACATTAATAACAATAATAAAAATGAATCACTTCATACGTCATTATAATTGTGATGATGCCAGGAATAAAAAGCAGAACATCTGCTGTATAATCATTGGGATAAAGATAAGAGCAATAAAGTCATTATCATGATTATTGAGTTTATGGAGACCCCTGGACACTTGAACTTTGGCCCCTAGACCCCTTGAACTTCAAGGGATTCCTTGAAGTCTTGATCCCTGGACTCCTAGACACGAAACCTTGGAACTCTGATCCCTGGACCCTTGACCTCTGGCTCTTGAACGTTGACCCTTTGAATCCCTGAACTTGGCTGGCTCCATCTCTGACCCCTGGACTCTTCACTTCTGACCCTGGACCTGGATCTCTCGATCTCTGATGACTGAAGTCCAACCTCTGGACCCCTGAACTCGGCCGGCTTGAGCTCTGAGCTCCGCACCCAGATCCCTTGATGAGATTCCGACCTCCTGGCCCCTGAACTTAACCTCTGACCCCGCAAAAGGGCCTGCCTGGTCTCAATGCACCCTCTCCCATCTCTCCATAGTCACTGGCCCATTCTTGACTGGTTCCCACCCCCTGCACAGCCCTGGCTTGGTGCCCGCTGGAGACTCACCCCTGCTAGCCCCAGCCCCCGGGGCCTGGAGCTGTACAGGAGAGAGTGGGACTCACCTGCTTGGAGCGCTGGGCTGGGCTGCGTAATGGGAACGGGGCTTTTATAGCCGAGGGCTTCAGGTGACACTTGCAGAGCTAGATTTCATCACAGTTTCCAGAGACGCATGGCTGCACTGATAGAAGTGGAGATAAGAGGTGAGGCTGTGCCAGGAGCTGGACAAACACCCCCAGGGCACAGCCGGCCCACGCTCCAGCTGGGATTGGGGTTGTGCCAGGTGCTGTACAACCCTCATCCTGGGCACAGCCAGGCCCTGAAATGTGTCATCCCCCCCATCCCCGCTCATAAATGCAGCTCTGGTAGCTTTTGAAGCTGGCTGAATCTCTTGCAGAGCTCCCATTTCTTGAGAAGGAAGGAGGCGGATTCCAGTCCGCCCTGCTTTTAATCCCCTGAACCCCCTCCTCTTTCCCAGGGCTTGGAGAAGAACCCAGGTGTCCAGGCTGCTAGCCCCCTGTTCTCACTGTCCTCCAAGAGCTGGAGGGACCTCAGGTGTCTGGGCTGTAACCCCCCAGACCCTACACCCCTCTCAGAATGGGGGGAAAACCCAGGCATCCAGGCTCCCAGCCTCCAGTCCCCGTTCTCCTCCCAGAGCTGGAGAGAACCCAGTGTCCAGGCTCCCAGCTCCCCCTACTCTAACCTCCCAGACTCCACTTCCTTCCCAGAGCTGGAGAGAACCCAGGTGTCCGGGACCCCCTGATCTCATCCCACAGCCCCCATACCCCTTCTCAGAACAGGGAGAGAACCCAGGCATCCGGGCTCCCCGTCTTCCCCATTCTAACTCACTAGACACCTAGTCCGGCCACCCTGCCCTGCTCCATCTACCCTCCTCTCCCTCTTCCAAGAGAGAACCCAGGTGTCTGGCAGCCCCACTCTGCTCTATCTACCCTCCTCTCTCTCCCAGAGCTGGGAAGGAACCCAGGAGTCCCTGCCATCTTCATCGCAACAATAGCAGCAAACACCTGGATCCTTTTTTGACCTCTCCAGGGTGTTTCTGGCCTCCTGGAGTTGGGGCTGGCCCGGACACCTGGGTCCTTTCTGAACTGTGGCTCTAAGCAAGGGGCAACGAGAGAGGTTATTTTGGGGGGAAAAAGAAGAGAACTGGATATTTTTCACTGGGGGTGGGGGTGGGGAGAAGAATCCAACCCAGTGGCAAAACAGGGGCTGGGTCCATGGAGGAGCCCCTTGAAGCTGGATTCCACACCGGGGCACAATGGCTGCAGGGAAGGGCCGGGGTTTTAGGGCCTGGCTTGGCACGGATCCCGGCGGTGGGACAAAGCGAGCACTCAGCCGGGAACAACGCAGCACTATCACATGTTCCCTTTGGCCAGGAGCCCAAGGCCAAGGCCCCTGGGGGTAGCGGAGAGGCTGTGGGCTGAAACCAGACCCGGGGCCTTTACAGAAGCCTGAGGTCAGTGCCTGGCACGGGGCTGGGAAAGCCGGGGATCAAAGGAACCCAGGCATCCTGCTGGAGGGGCTGTCCCTTGGCTACAACCATGACAACCCCGCTCCAACGCCTTTCTGGCATCTTGGCTCCCAGCCTCCCCCGCTGCTCTGATCTTCCCAGCCCCCACTCCCCTCCCATAGCAGGGAGAGAACCCAGGCATCCGGGCTGCCAGCCCCCCCTGCTCTTACCCCTTAGACCCTGCTAGGTTCCCAGAGCTGGGAGAGAATGCAGGTGTCCCAGCCCAGGGACTGATGCACACAGGCTTGTACATGCATGCACACACCCACGTTCACACATGTGCATGCACACATATACACAGAAACATGCAGGTGCACACACTCACCCACCCACATGCATGCAGGCAGTCATGAACACATGGGCACACAAGTATACACACAAACATGCACACATATGCATACATGCACTTATGCACACACGTATACACATGCATGTAAGTACACATCCACACCTGCACGCTCACACACACACACACACAACATGCACGCACACATACACACATCTGCATACACCCACACACAGAGAGTGTGGCTTGACTCTGATGCTGGACGTTAAGGTCTTGGGGGTCTTTCCACCCCCCAGATTGGAACTGCCCTCATCTCCCTGGGACCCCTGCCCTGGGACTCAGCTGAAGCTGATGCCCCCTGGAGGGGGCTGGCCTTTGCCCTCTGGGCCAGCCAGTGCCCCTGGATTGGGTCCAGATTGGGCTGTTGCCCCACAGCAGGAAAAGCCCTCATCCCTTGAGCCAACCAGTAAACCCTAGAGAAGACAGACCCCGGCCCCAGCCAGTGCCCCCAGGAAGGCAAAGGCCCATCCCTTCACCCCCTGGACATAGGCTTCAGGGTGGTTACGCATGGAAGCACAACCTGGCCTCATTGTTCTGCCCCCCCCCCCCGGGACTGGGCACTATTTGCCCTGGGTGAATAGGCTGGCTTAATCACCCCTGCGGGAATGAATAGGGCCAGCTCCATGACGAGCTAGGGGCATTGTCCGTGGGCTGCTGAGCATATAAGATTGAAGCCGATACTGGCCAGAGAGGCCCCTTTTGTTTCGGGGCCCTTAAATCTTCCCTTGCAGAAGCTTTAACAGCAGGTTTCTGGGCTCAGCCGACTGTCACCGGGCAGGGGGGGGAGGGATTCCTCCCCTCGCCCCTTTCTGTTGCTACAGACATCAGGGATTTATTTTGCCTTCCTCACCAGTAGTGGTTGTTGGCTTCAGCACAGCGGGGGTGGAAATGTACAACCTAGAAGGTTTAGAGAGGGAAAAGTTGGCTGTTAGAGCAGGGAGAAAGGGGAAGAGATTCCTAGATTCATAGATGTTAGGGTTGGAAGGGATTTGAGTAGGTCATCGAGTACTATCTAGGGGAAGTATTGACCCCCTGCCCTGGGCAGGAAAGAGCACTGGGGTCAGATGACCCCAGCTAAATGTTTGTCCAGTCTCCTCTTGAAGACCCCCAAGGAAGGGGAGAGCACCATTTCCCTTGGGAGTCCAGTCCAGATTCTCGCAACCCTTACTGGGAAGGAGATCTTTCTAATGTCCAACCTAAATCCTGCTCTCCATCAAGTTGTGCCCATTGTTCCTAGTTACTCCAGGGGGTGCCCTAGTAAATAGAGCATCTCCTATTCCTTGCTGCCCTCCCCAGTGAATTTATAGGCAGCCACAAGATTACCTCTCAGCCTTCTCTTGCGAAGGCTGAAAAGATCTAGGTCCCTCAGTCTCTCCTTGTAGGGCCTTGCCTGCAGGCCTCTGACCTTGAGTGGCCTCCTCTGGACCCTCTCAAGATTCTCCGCATCCCTTTTGAAGTGTGGCACCCAAAACTGGATGCAGTACACCAACTGTGGCCTGACCAGTGCTGCACAAAGGGGAAGCATCACCTCCCTGGACCTGTCCGTCATGCATCTGCTAATGCATGATAAAGTGCGGTTAGCCTTGTTGGTCACTTTGTCACATTGACGACTTATGTTCATCCTGGAGTCAACTATGACTCCAAGATCCCTTTCTGCTGCTGTGCTGCTGAGAAGGTCATCCCTCAGTCTGGAAGTGTGTTGGTGGTTCTTTTTGCCCAGGTGCAGCAATTTGCACTTGTCTTTGTTGAACTGCATCCTATTTCATTCTGCCCATTTTTCCAACCTGTCCAGATCCGCCCGGATCCATTCTCTACCCTCTGGTGTGTTAACTTTTCCCCATAACTTGGTATCATCTGAGAACTTGGACAGGGTGCTCTCCATGCCATCGTCCAAGTCACTGATGAAGACATTAAATAGCACCAGTCCGAGGACTGAGCCTTGCAGGACTCCACTGCCCACATCTTTCTAGGTCAATACTGACCTGTCCACCACTACTCCCTGGGTGTGACCCCTAAGTCAATTTGCCACCCACCTGACTGTGTAATCATTTACATCACAGCCTGTCAGTTTAGTTACGAGAACGGAATGCCATACTGTGTTGAAGACAAGATTCTTTGCGTGACTCTGATATCTTTTATTAGACCAACTTAAATAGTTGGAAATCAATTATTAATCAAGCTTTCGGGTTCAAAAACCCTTCGTCAGGCTATGGAAGTTTCAGCAGTCGGTGTGTGCTCTTCCTGGATGGAATGAAAAGTGAAGGAGCCAGTGGCTGGGCTGGTATGCATACAAGACAGGTAGTCAGTGAAAATGTAGATTGAGGAGTCAATGGGTGAGAGACAGGCTGGGGGGGAGGAGAAGAGAGAGAAGGGGAATAAAAGTGGAGAGATACCCGGGGAGTCAGATGTCAGGCAGGTTATAATGTGTCATAAATCCAATGTCTATATTTAGTCCATGATTTTTAGTATCCAGGAGGTTGATGAAATGGAGCTCATAGGCTCGTCTCTGGGAAGTGCTGTGTAAGTTTCCCTTGAGGATCAGGACTGAGAGATTGGAGAGACAGAGTGGTTTTCTTGTGAGAAATGTGCCCCCACCGGTAATTGGGTATTTCTCTCTCTGATAGATTTCCGGTGTGTGTTCATTCTGGTGCGCAGTTGTCTGGTCATTCCTACGTATTTTCCATCAGGGCATTTGGTGCATTGGATGAGGTATATCGCATTTCTGGAGGTGCAGCTGTAAGATCCTGGGATGCTGATGGCTCTGTTGTGGGGTGTAGTAATAGTGGGGGTGATGGAGATGTGTTGGCAGGTTTTGCATTTCTTGTCCTGGCACGGTCTGGATCCTTTTGGTGTGTTCTGGGCTTGAGGAAGTTTGCTTCTGGCGATGAGGTTGGCAAGGTTCGGTGCTTGTTTGAAGGCTAGGATGGGTGGCTCTGGGAAGATCTTTTTAAGAGTAGGGTCTCTTTCTAGTATGGGTTGCAATTGTTCGAGGATTTTCCATACAGCTTCAAGGGAGGGGTGATAGGTCATAACCAGCGGTGTGCGATTTGTGGGGGGTTTTCTTCTGTACTGCAGCAGTTCTTCACGTGGTATCCAGGTGGCTCTTTCAACCGTGCGATATACCTCTCTGGAGGAGTGTCCTTGCTGGGTGAAAGCCTTTTTAAGATTGGTGAGGTGGCAATCCCGGGTGTTCTCTTCAGTACAGATGCGGTGGTATTTGAGGGCTTGGCTGCATATCACAGCTTTTTTGGTGTGTTTAGGGTGATTGCTGGTTCTGTG